ATGTTGGACTTTTCTCTTTAGAAAGTTCCTGCGAGAGTCATCAGGACTCCTTACGATTCCTGCTGGAGTTTTTCATAAACTTGGGACTCCCGTTGGAGTTTTGCCGGGAGTCTCGACTAGGGTCTGTACTTTCTACACATTTTTTCGTCAGTGTCTGTTTAGTGTTCTTTCTTGGTGCTGATACTGTCACACGCGCATATCTTTTCCTGTGTAATTCTCTTCTCTTCTTATTTTCGTTTTAAGCCTTTTGTAGTTGCTGTGTACTTTTACGTATACATTTTACATATCATTATATTTACTGTTGCAAAAGCAAAAACAAAAACTTGTTCTGGTATCCTCTCGTTTTGTTCCGTATTTGTTGTCAGTTGTCAACAGACCATTCTTCTTTTCTTCAAGTGCAACTTATCAGTAGTAACTTTTTGCCATACATCATGAAGCGCAACATAGAATAACTACGCATAAAGCATTCGGTGTCGGCGAGAACAAAAATCTGTTCTTTTTATAAAGGCTTTTTAATTTGGGAAAGTATTGTCAACTGAAATCTGTTCTGTACATGTATTTAAGACACTGAAAAATAAAGATGATATTCGCAAAATAAATAGCATAAAAGAACTCAACTTTTTTAGACATTTCACCTAATTTAAAGAAAGTTCTTATCGTTACCGTCTTGCACACATACATCCACAGGACGAAACAAAACATTGCACACTCTGTTTTCACATGGGCTACTATGAAATAAAGCATCTTGCTAGGCTCTTATTAACCCAAGTCAAACACAATACCAAACCCAAACTCTGACCCAACCACAATTCTTTGGTTGGGTTTTGGTCTGTAACATACCTGCTTCCAATGTAGAACACATACATCAGCAGTCGATGTTCTTGTAATTATTCTTTAAGAATTCTTATGTCTTATAAATTCTTGAAGGAATCTTGATTCTGTGAGATTTTTCGTATATGTTTATCAGGGCTCCGCGTGGGATAGGATGGGACGAAAAAAATCGTCCCATGGGATGAAGTAGGTCAAGGTGTCCCATGGGATGGGACATACCTCAAAACTTTTTTATCCCATCCCACGTGGGACTATGCCTTAAAATTTTCTGTCCCATGAAATGGGATAGAAAATTTTTAAGATAGTCCCATCCGGTGGGACGAAGAAAATTTCTATCCCATCCCATGGGATGGGATAATTTTGAAAACTTCATGCCCTATGCCATCAATGAAGTTTCACGCTATCGGATTTCTCTCCTTCAATTCGGACTTGAACCTTTGAGTTCTTGTACGTCATTTGAAGCAGTCGTACGATCTTCTCGGTCAGACCGTAGTGCTGGCAGATCTTCCACAGCAAAGTTCCCGAGTCATAGGCTTTGGTGATGTCTATAAACACCATGTACATTGGTTTGTTGTATTCTTTGTGTTTCTCCATGGCTACCTTGGGAGTGAAGATGTGATCAATCGCTGACCGATTTGGTCTGAAACCCGCTTGTGTGTCGAGTAGTCGTTGATCAAGGACTGTTTGTACTCGGTTCAGCAAGACTCTGTTGAAAATCTTACTAACAACAGACAGGAGTGAAATCCCCCGATAGTTCTCGCACAGTTTCTTGTCACCCTTCTTGAACAGTCGGATGAGAGTGGCAAGGCTCCAGTTGGAAACTGTCTTTTCACTTGTCCATATTTCCGTAAAGAGTTGGTGTAACCAGCGGACAACCGTGATTCCGCCTGCCTTAAGGAGGTCGGCTGTGATGTTGTCATCTTCAGGCGCCTTTCTACTCTTAGACATGTTGACTGCTTGTTGCACTTCGGCAAGGGTTGGTGATTTTTCTTGCCGCCGACGTTCTTCTGCCGTAGCGGGGAAGTTCTCGAACTTCTACAGGAGTTAGCGACCCTGGGCTGCCGCAGCTACTCGTCTAGACCTCGGGCTAGCAACCCGTTTAAACTCATCTTGCTATCAAACAAACACAGACCAAGTGCGCGAACGCACAAAAACCGGTGAACTTCGGTTCCTGGAATGTTCGATCCTGTTTCGATCGAATTTCCAGTTCGATTTTCTAGAATTATGGAAATGCTCAGCAATTTGTATAAATCTTGAATAGTTTTTGGGTTGGTTAGGTATTATTTTCCTTTATTTTTATTTTTATTTTTTGTATTCTATAGGGTACTCTGTAGTACTGTACTGCACCAGCAGTACGCCAAAATTCACAGCTCTTACGGTACCGTTCAGACAATACCGAAGCTGTTCAGTCGTATGTCCGTAACGAAGTTGAAGATTTCTCAACTTTTTTACAGTGCAGATTATTATATATGTTACAGGCCAACTTAGAATTCAATAAAACATAGATTTTTCAATAATAATGTATGGTTATCATTTCAATGAAAGAAAACGTGTAAATAATATCAACTCTTATTTCTTCTAAGGTCTAAGAAGTACCTAGAAATATTCCCTCTTCGTTCTACACCTAGCCTTTGATTAGTTGATGAAATTCAGACATGGGCCGATTTCATCAGATAATAAACGCATCCTTTGCAATTACCATCCAGTATAGTTAGAATTTACGAAAACTCACTTTTCTCCGTGAAAGTCAACGTTTTTCAATTTTAAAGGTAATATTCGTGATCACGATGCTGCTTTGGGACAAGTTTTCAACTTAATTGCTCACATTGTAAGAAAAAAGCGACCTATTTTAAGACGTTGAACTCGGAGGGAAAAAAGACACTGTAAATGGTTAATGCACTTTTCGAACGTCTTACTTTTCTACTTTTTCTTTTATCAGACGCTTCGGCCTCTATAATGCCATCTCAATCTAAAATACACGAGAGGCCCAAGTTGGATCGCCCAGCTAAAGTCACATATTTTCGAAAGGCTAATGTTTTATTTCACTTTTATATGTGCGAGAACAGTCTCGACTATTCATTTTAATAACAAAAAAAAACTGACGGGAAACTGTGCATCACAAATAAGCTAATTTTTAATAAGTGTACGTTTTTTTTAAATATGTGAATATTTTCTGCTGGAATGAACTTCTTTTAAAAGAGAAACACTGAGAATAAGTCGCTTGTTTTACAACTCATATCCTATTGCTTCCACCTTTATAGATAAATAAATCTACTTTCATTTTTCTTTCTGCTGTTCTTCTCTTTTCTTCTCTGGGAAATTTCCAACTACTTTTACCCATAAATTTACTGGATTTTTAACTTTTTCAGAACAGGCGAGAAAATTATCATTGCATAAAAGTAATATACAACAATCGCTTTCTCAACTGTGCACCAATATCAAGGTTCATTCCTGAGGGCTTTCGTGTTGTTGAAAATTTATAGATTAAAGAGCGGTCCGGATTAAATCGTGGGAAAGTGGGATTTTTTGAGTTAGTGAAAGAGTATATACATGTATAGTAGATCTATCTTGAACTTATAACAATTTTAAATTATTTTTTATTTAGATGGATTTTTCTGATCATTTATTCGACGCTGATCGTAGCAAATCATCGACACCCATTCAATATGATTCCGGTCGCTCATCTAAAAGAAATGATAATGTTTCAAGAACATCAAGAACAACAACTTGTAGTGAGCACGTTGACTTCGTTGACAACGACGATGATTATTACAATGAGTATAAAAATTATGATTTTGACAAAGCACCAGGTTTATTTCATGTTTCTCAGTTTTTAGACTAAACTAAGATAGATGTTATTTTAGTTTGCGTTCAAAATAGTCTGGTTATTGCTGGCAACTGTCATGTGAAAGCATATGTATCTCATATCAATCATATCTCAGCATTTTTTGTACAATTACCGTCATCACAATTAAAATTTCAACAATTACAGATTCAAATGAAGCAAGAATATAATTTAAAATGTTTTGTTATTGCCACTAAACATTGCCTTCTGTTTAGCGAATGTTATTTAAAACATGCCATAAAGGAAACTTTATCGTTACATCAAGGTGATTATTGTGTAGCTCAATATTCACAAGATAAAATTTTTTATCGGGGAAGGATACTCGACATCAAGAAAAGTAAGTTGAATGATTTATTGGATTCATTAATAGCCTGTTCTTACTTGTACTTTGATAGATCCAGAAATCGAATATGAAGTAGTTTTTATCGATTTTGGCAATTCTGAATGGATGCGAAAAGAAAATATTCGACCAATGTTCAAAGAATTTAGTTTTTTGCCTGCGCAAGCTATCCCTTGCACACTTTCGAAAGTATAAAAGTTCTACGTATCTAGTCATCGTTTTTCGACAATTAATTATTTTATCTTCAAGGTAATGCCACTGAATTCTGATCGTCCAACTTGGTTGAGTGATAAAGGAAAACAGGCTGTTCAAATATTTAAAAATCTGATTTTTGACAAATATGTTGATGTTACATTTTTACCCAATACCGATTTCTGGTCATTATGTTTTGTCAAAATTGTCGACGAAAATGGTCAGGTATATAAGAGGTTAATAAAACACAGTACCTACATTTGTGAATTAAGTCATCTTGTCTTTTTAAGGATATTCGTGATTTTTTGATTCAACAGAATCTTGTTAAAGCTACAAAAGGAAATACTGATTTATCTGCCGAATTGAATTTATTGTTCACGAAACGAGATTACATCATGTACGCAATTCCATATGAAGGTGATGGATATGATAATTTCGATATGTGAAGAATATACACGGTAATAGAGATCAAAATCTATGCTCTATTTCTTAGTAACAATAAAAATGAGATCGAATTCATAGTGGTAATCGGCGATAATTTATAACTCAAACGTTTTGTCTTTTCTCAATGAAAAAATTTATTATGCTTATAGAAACTAGATGAGACCTAACCACTAATCTTGTTACATTCTTGGTTAGGATTGATGTTGGACATGCATTAAAATATTCAAGTTGAACAGCGTTTATTGTATCAAATAAAGACTAATATATCGAGTTATTTGTTATTAAGATATAACTGTCCGTTGCTGAGTCTCATTCGCATATATTTGTTAGCAAAGAGCATTAATACGCTCTTCTTTTTGCTTGTTCAATCAATAGTTATTGAACTAACAGATCCATTTATTTTAACTAACTATTAACGATGTATCGTTTTCATTCTTTCATCTTTGAAAAATATTGCTCTACATGCAATATACACGATTTAATTGCCGTTCATTATCTTCTATGTTAATTAGTTTTTTTCCTCAGACAATTTTTGTTTTGATATGGAGGATTTACTTTCCGTTGATTATATAACGAAAGTATAGCGCAATTAACCACTACGGATTGACCATTTTGACGAAAGGAAATTAGCAAATGAATATTCATTGCAAGTATAAAAGAATTTTCCAAACAAGGCGAACAGTTATCAACTACATAGCGTGTGTACACTCACCACACTAATTATCTCTTTCTGCTGTAAAATTTCTATGTCCCAAAACGTCAATCGATGACCATCTTTTAGATGCTCTAGACAAGAAACTAAATATCCCATAGAACTACAGATAAATAGGACATTCCCATATTCAGAATCCGCTCCGTATTCTCATTTTTCTTACGCACTTTTTAGATCTTGAACAAACAGTGTGAGAAAATGACATAAAAAAGCATATTAAAAAACCATGACGCTGATTGCTAGAATGCGGCTGCTTCGCACAGCATTAATAAGAGAACGATTAACTAAATTGTGAATGATAACGAACAGTATTTAGTAACTCTATGTGCTGAATAGTGAGAAGTAATTAGACACCGGAGCACTAATCACAGTAGTTAAGGGTATCCCTCCCCCTCTTTTTTACCTTGTTGCCAAATGCGGAGCACACGTTTGGTTGAGCTCAAATTTATAGCAGAGATAGAACATCGAAAAAGAAAACTGATATATTTTTCCTAGAATTTCTGAGATGTTCTTATATGGGTTTTCTGGAAAACTCCAGTTTTCATTCAGTCACATTACGACCCATCGAAAAAATGATCGATCGAGCTCAAATTTTTACCCTAGATACTTCAGACCCTATCTCAGGTTCTAAATTTTTTTTTAAAAAAAAAATATGCTTTCCTTCTCGAGATATACGAAAAATTCACTGACTTTCAGTGACTTCTAAGCATTATTGACAGATTTAGTGTTCAATTCACTGACTTTCAGCATTTTTCGTATATCTCGAGAAGGAAAGCATATTTTTCGTAAAAAAAATTCAGAACCTGAGATAGGATCTGAAGTATCTAAGGTAAAAATTTGAGCGCGATCGATCATTTTTTCGATGGGTCGTAATGTGACTGAATGAAAACTGGAGTTTTCCAGAAAACCTATATAAGAACATCTCAGAAATTCTAGGCAAAAATATATCAGTTTTCTTTTTCGATGTTCTATCTCTGCTATAAATTTGAGCTCAACCAAACATGTGCTCCGTATTTGGCAACAAGGTAAAAAAGAGGGAGAGCGGATATCCTTACTGTCACCATGATAGCGTTGTAAAAGTGCATATAAGGGTAGAGACGTACAAATATATTTCAATAGATCGTATAGTTGAGGAAGCACATCATGCTGCCAACCGATAGTCTCAATCAAATTATTTAATTATTAATTTGCCACTGACTAATACAAGAAGAATCCCTGGAAAAACAATGCCGTAAGACTCGTCCATTAGTCCCTTGATCGGTCGAATAACTTTCGTTTTCATTACCAGATGCTTATTGCAGAACAACAAACCGTAAATCGTTTTTATTGTACGATGAGTTACATGGTGGTATTTCTTCACTCGTTTCTCACTGTATAATGATATCGTTTATTTATTAGAGTGGCTGTTGTGCTATATCTTCATTATATAATTAACGAGAAACAAATCGTGGACTCATTCACAAACACACAAGATAAACTGTTTCAATTTGTTTAACAGATTATCATAATTCTTTGATGTCCTCGACGGAGATCAAAGGCGAAGCAATCAATTTATTACTTTGATTTAGTCGCTCGATATTTACTGTTTAAACAGTAGTCTGCTATTCAAATAACCTATCCATAGAAAAAAAGTATTTCTTTTTCTTTTATTGCTTACCGTAAAGCAAAAAACCTTGTTTATATAATTCATTAAAATAGACTATACTAATTGTTAGTTAACACGATTATATTATACACTAAATCTGTCAGTAATGCTTAGAATCGAATACTATAGATAGTCTTTTGTTTAAGGGAACTGATAAATTATTGTGGTGTATAAAGTGTACTCAACAGTTAATGTAGTGTCTGTAATCACCAGTGTGCGATGATAGTTGTGTGGTCTGATAAAATTTGTGTGTAGATAAAACTTTTTTGTTTTCATCAGTAATAATGTAATAGATGAACACTTTATTTGATATCATATATAAATGAACGAATGTGAAATGCGTATTTATATCCCATTATGAAGTCCAGAGAATCGTGTAATATGTACACGTATGGGGGAAAGTCGATCGAAGTATTATCTCATATTGTTATATATACATATCCAAAGTCATCTCTCCATACAAATAAATTATTATCCACTGAAGACGTCAACATTTATCTACCATGGTGCCAGCTGCTTTCTCTAGAGGAAAATTCTTTATCGATTCTTATAATGCGAATCTTACCTGAATCTTATCACATTCCTATATAAGAAAACGCTTTAAAGTGTCACGATTTTTGTAGGCGTCTTATAAGAATCTGATAAGAGGTTTGTAAGAACTTGATAAAAAAGTGATAAGAAATCTCATGTTATTCTTATTTGCTTTTTATAAACTTCTTACCTGGAAAAGCTGCTGTATAAAATGATCTACATCAGTCCTACATTTGAAATTCACAAAAAAAAATTTAAAAAAAACAACGGCAAGCCGTTCAAGGTTCGAACCAAAGGTCTATGCCATGCTCTCACCAATTGAACAGTAACGGACTACATTTATGAAACATCATCTCGGAGTTATATTCTGATAAAATAATTTTTTCACGTTTTAGTTAAATTATGAGAAAAAGTTATCTCAAACTACATGAGAGTGTTTTACAATTCAGAGCTTATATCTTTTCTTTAATTTGTGGGCATCCTCAAAATATTTGATAAACAAAAGAAAGAGAATATCAGATGGAGGGCTTGTGCTTGTGAATCACATTTCGTAAGAGTGCAAAACCTTGCCGATGGCGAACCAGTTAGCTCTGATCGAATATAAATAGTTTTATTTTTCTTGTCGAAAGAACGTAAGAATTATAAGCATCAATATGCATTACAACAAATAAGAATAACATGAGGATTCTTACCACTTTTTTATCAAGTTCTTTCAAATCTCTTATCAGGTTCTTATGAGATTCTGGCGGAAATCGTTATACTTTCAAACGTTTTCTTATATAGGAATGTTGCCAGATTCGGGTATGATTCTTCCACATATCTTATACTGATGCCCATAGGTTTTCAGTAAGATTCTTGTCTGATTCCTTTATATTGAATCGATCATTGGGTTAGAGCGTTACTGAGATGTTCATGGTGAATAATTTTTCAAATGTTGACGATGCATCGTTTATAATGTTCATTATATGTCATCCGATTTAAATATAATATAACGAGAGAAATGTGAATGAATGAGAATTTTTGTTTTCGTTTTTTTCTAATCAGTATAAAAGACTATTGCTAAGTAGTTTTACTAAAAGAATTATTTCCTGTTCTTTATGTTTGTTCGATTGTTGAAAAGTTGCTGTTGAAGGATGACTTATATATTACAAGACGATTCAATGATTCCATCTTTTTCCTCTTTTTTCTTTTAATACTCTGCTCACTAGGGCTTTGACAATGTTGGATTTCTGTTCACAATATATTCTCGAGAAAATTAATCAGAAAACACATTGATTTCATCAGAGGTGGGAATAGTTACATTTCACTTTCTATTTACACACACATAATAGATATTGAATTTAGCGTTGCCATTCTTGAGAGAGACTTTCTAGAATGAAATATATCGTTAGTAATCGGTGGTTATTTAAGAATCCTTAAGAGTGAGTACAGCTGCATTCTTGCAAATTTTGGTTTTTTCTGCATTGCTTATGATTAATCTGAGATCGAGAGATGTTTTCCGATAATGTCCGCTAAACTCATTAAATCGTATGTTTTCTTCTTGAACAACAAATTCAAAGTGTCATTCAGATGATGGCGACAATACATATCAAACCAGAATGCTTTCTGTTTTGCATCAGAATATGTATACAATACTATTCATTTTTATTTCAATTTATATAGCACTCTATTCTGATAATCATCTTTTCTCTTCGTTTAAAATGATACACATATTTATCTAATTAATTTTTTTTATCTCTTAACGAAGTGAACAACATCTGATCTGTTATTCCGTTGCTCCTTTAACGTCCATTCAGGTTAAGAATGAGCATAGTTAATAATCATTTTTAAGTATAGGAAAAGTTGTGGATTGTATAGTTTGAAATCATTCTATGTGTACAATACAACTGTGAATATTTTGAATACTCTGCGGACATCTAGCACACATGTCACATGGGATTAAATAGAGAGAAAGAGAAGAAGAAAAAAGTGGTCTCAATTTCTTTCCATCATATTTTTAATGCCTCTTTCGTTCAATTTTTCTTTTTTTTTTTTTCTTGTATAAAACACAATAGATTCCACTCTACTTTTCTACATCTAAAGTTATAGATAGTATATGGTGGCGTATTACCGAT